GATTTACATTGCATGATTAGCTAGAACTAGGCTGGCAGAGAGAACATTACGTGAGTGGTTATACTTTTTGCGCTACCTGCTCTCGGGCATGAGTGCATATTAAAGATGGTTAAAGAGCTTTTCCGTTCTGTCACGCGAGCGCTGGGATACTAAACAATTAACACGCCTAAAACGTTCACCATCATTGTCGCCGACAGTCGGTTGCCAGTGTGTTTAGAGACGCGGATGTTTGGCGTGCGGCTCTAAGATGAATGGGAAAGAGGGAGAGAGAGGAGAGATGGACGAGCGGTGAGGCAGAGTAAGAGGAGACGAGAGGGGGATAAGAGTGAGAGAGTAGAGGTGGGGGAGGGAGATGAGAGAGGGGGAGATAGAGGTGGAGAGCGAGAAGAGGAGAATGGAGAGAGATGAAGAGGGGAGGGAGAGAGAGAGGAGGAGAAGAAAGTGTAGAGAGAGAGAGAGGAGAGGGAGATGAGAGAGAGGGAGGCGATGTAGAGAGGAATTGGAGTAGAAGATGTGAGAGGCAGAGTGAGAGAGCAGGAGCGATGAGAGTTGAGAGAGGAGAGGATGCGGGTGGAGGCGAGGCGAGATAGATGGGAGGGCGAGTGTAACCGAGAGAGTGCATAAGAGAGGGATGAGATGAGGAGGAAAGAGAAGAGTGGGAAGGGGAAGAGATGAGGGGAGAGAGAGAGAGAAAGAGAGAGAGAGAGAGAGAGAGGGAGAGAGAGAGAGAGGGAGAATGGAGGAGGGGGTTTATCCGTACACGAAACACGCCGAGAGTTATTTTCCCGTCGCGTGTCACAACGTTTCGCGGTCATTCTTCTTGAGAAGTGATAAAGAGATTTTGCCGCTCTCTCTCTCCTCTCTCTCTCTCTCTTTTTCTTCTCTTTTCTCTTCTCTCTCTCTTCTCTCTCCTCTCTCTCTTCTTCGCTCTCTCTCTTTCTCTCTCTACCTCTCCTCTCTCTCTCTATCTCTCTCTCTTCTCTCTCTCTTCTCTCTCGTCTCTCTCTTCTCGCTCTTCTCTGCTCTCTCCTCTCTCTCTCTCCTCTATTCTTTCGCTTTCTCGCTCTCTCGCCTCTCTAGCTCTTCTCGCTCTCTCGCTCTCTCGTCTCTCGCTCTCTCGCTCTCTCGCTCTTCTCGCTCTCTCGTCTCTCGCTCTTCGCTCTCTCGTCTCTCTCGCTCTTCGCTCTCTCGCTCCTTCTTTATCTCTCTCTTTCTCTCTCTCTCCTCCCCTTCTCCTCCGGCTTCCTTTCTCCCTCCCCCCCCCCCCTCCTTCCTCCCCTCCTTCTCCTGCCCTGTTTTCTTTTTCCTTTTCTCTTTCCCCCTTTCTCATTGCTTCCCCTTCCGCCTTCCCCCTCCTCTCTCTCTCTTCTCCCCCCCTTCGTTCTCTCCCTCCCTCTCCGCACCCCCTTTCTTCTTCCTCCTCTTTCCTCCTCCACTCTTTTTTCTTCCCCTCCTTTCTTCTCTCTCCCCCTCCTCCTCCTCCCCCCTTCTTCCTCCTCTCCTCTGCCTTCCCTGGCGCTCGCTGCTCCGCCTCTTATCGCGTGGCCCCATTCTTCCCTCTTCTTTCCTTCCTCTCCTCCCTCCACCTTCCCTCCTCTCCTCTCTCCGTCTCCCCTCTCCTTTCCTCTGCCTCCGCCTCCTCCTCTTCCCGCTCTCTCCTCCTTTCCTCCTTCCCTCCTCTCACCCTTCTCCTCTACTCTACCGCCCCCCCCGTCCTTCTCCTCTCTCCCCTCTCCTCCTTCGCCTCTTCTCTCTTCCCGCTTCCTCCTTCCTCCCCTTCTCTTTCTCTTTCTCTTTATTTATATATCTTTCTATCTATTCGACTCGCTCTTTTTCTCTTTCTCTCTTCTCTCGTCTCTTTCTCTTCTCTCTCTCTCTTCTCTTCTCTCTATCTCTCTCTCTTCTTCTTTCTTTCTCTTTCTCTTCTATCTCCTTCTCTATCTAGCTATCTATATATCCATCTATCTGACTCTCTCTTTCTCGCTTTCTCTTTTTCTCTCTATCTCTCTATTCTCTCTCTCGTCTCTCTCTCTCTCTCTCTCTCTCTCCTCTCTTCGTATCTCTCTTCTCCTCTCTATCTAGATGTCTGATAATATCTTTTACTCTGAGACTCTCTCTTTCTCTCTTTCTCTCTTTCTCTCTTTCTCTCTTTCTCTCTTTCTCTCTTTCTCTCTTTCTCTCTATCTCTCTCTCTCTCTCTCTCTCTCTATCTCTATCTCTCTCTTGCGTGTTTAGGCTCGCGTGAGTAAGTAAGCATCGCAGCGCGTGCACACACGCCGCGTGTTTTAACCGCACCGCACATGATGCTATTGTAGATAAGACTGAGAAGAGGCTGCAGAAGCGCAACGACAGTCTGAAGAACTTCACTTACCAGCGACGCGACATCATGCGCGAGATCTACGCGGCCATGAACAGCACCAGCTTCATCGGCGTGTCGGTACGCGGCGACGATGACGACTACGATGACGATGATGACGACGATGACGATGACGACTACGATGCCAATTACGCCGTTAGCGATGATGACGATGACAACGACGACGATAACAATGACGACAATGAAGACGATGACGATGCCGATGATGATGACGACAATGATGACGATGACAATGCTGATGACGATGATGACAACGATGACGTCGTTGACGATGGTGATAGTGACGTGGATATAGCGATTAGTTGGATCGCATTAGATAGTTATGGATATTGGTGGATTGTTTGATGGTAGGTGGTGTGGCCGCATTGTAATTCATCGAGAGATGTTATAAAGTAGCCCATATAGCTAGACAGGATACTAATGATGATCAATAGATGGCTAAGAACTGCTAGCTTCCTAGCTAGCTGGTTCAGCGCCGCTCTTGTAATAGGTTGCTCGTGTTTACAGGGAAACGTCACCTTCTCACAAGCTGGTGACCGTATTGCCCTGACACAGTTGGAACAGATGATCAGTAAGTGAAGAATATATAACCAAGATTACTTAAAGAACTATATATATATATATCTTATATTATATATAATATTATATATATCTTATATATATGTGGTGTGTGTGTGTGTGTGTGTGTGTGTGTGTGTGTGGTGTGTGTGTGTGGTGGTGGTGTGTGTGTGTGTGTGCGTTGTTTGTGTTTGTGTGTGTGTTGTGTGTGTCGTGTGGTGTGTGTGTTGCTGTGTGTGTGTGCGCCGCGCCGCGCGCGCGTTGTGTGGTGTGTGTGGTGTGTGTGTTGCTGTGTGTGTGTGTGCTCGTAGTGTGTGTGTATGTAGTGTGTGTGTGTGTGTGTGTTTGTGTGTGTGTGTGTGCGGCGTGTGTGTGTGCGTGTGTGTGTGTGTGTGTGATGCGTGGCGTGCGTGCGTGGCGCTGGCGCGCGGCGTGTGTATGTGTTATCCATAGATATAGTCTTGATATATAGTCTAGGTATTATTATCTCTTGATGATATACTCCATCTTGAATTTTTTTCCGAATTTTTTAGATGGAACGTATGTTGGAACAATCGCAATTCATGAGCATGTGAGGGCGGCACTTCGATTACACTAACAACGAGGTGACGTGGATAGGTGAGTAGGGTCAAATTCACTCGCATTTCTCTTCCTCTCACAATCGTTCTCAAGTTCCTCGCTCTCGTATCTCTCTCAGTCTGGCACGCTCGCAGGCCTGGCTCTCTCTCTCTCCCGTCTCTCCTCTATCTGCTCTCACGTCTCGTTCTCCCCTCTCCCCGTCATCGGCGGCGCTTTCTCCCGCTTTCGTTCTCCGCTTTCTCTGCGCTTTCTCCCTCTCTCTGCTCTCTCTCTCTCTCTCTCTGCTCTCTCTGCTCTCTAATTGCTCTCTACCTCTCACGCTCCTCTCTCTCTCTTCTGCCATCAGGTGGATCCGGCGCCGCGCGACCGCACCCTGTGGAGAAGCACATCCGCACTGATAGACAAGGTGCTGGTTCCAGGGCATGTGCGACGGTCTCCGGCTGTAGGCATGCGTGTTCGCAGAAGTCGTTTGCATGATCATTCAACATCTACTTCAGGAAGCGAAGGTAGGTGCGCGTGCGCATGCGCAGAGACACGTACCGTATATGATCGCGTAATAACCGCGGGCGCTATACAGCCGCACCTCAATTTGAATCGGGTAACCAAGTATTGCGCCTAGTATATTTCCCGCTCGCGTATGGCACACTTATAATCCGCAGAGCAAATACAGGGTTAAAATCTGAGGCCAAATTTGCGGTTATTACGCGAATATATACGTAGTTTTAACCCCACTCACTTATGATGTACTTTCGAAGCATTTGTGTCAGGCCAGCGTGCAGAGACACGTAGTTTTAACCCCACTCACTTATGATGTACTTTCGAAGCATTTTGGTCAGGCCAGCGTGCAGAGACACGTAGTTTTCACGCCACTCACTAACGATATTCTTTCGCTAAAATTTGGTGAGGCTATAGCGAGTGGAGGAGATCTAGAGAAAGAACGCGGATTCTGTTCACTCACTCATGTAGTGTTTTAATTCGGCGAACAATCGTGTGCATTATATTGAACATCAACTCCAAGAGGTGAAGGCACATAGAGACGTGTAGTTTCTGGTATGCCTTCAGACATATGTTGGTCTGGCCACAGCGAGTAGAATACACCTAGGTGGCATATATATTCAGTCTACGCACTAATAGTATTTTCGGTGAACTGAATAATATTGAACATAGATTTCACCAGTACTTCCACCATCCTTACCTATTTGCCATTATCTATTTAATATTGCATATTTTCTATTACCTAATTATCATTACCTATTTACTGTCTCCTAATTGCTATTACCTAATCACCATTACTTATTTACTGCTGCCTACTTACCATACATGTTTACTATTGCCTATATATACTATTGACAAATCACTATTACCTATTTACCATTACACATTTACTATTGGCTATTTACTAATACCTATTTACTATTCTATATTTACTATTACCTATTCACTATCACTTATTTGCTATTGCCTATATTTTACAGGTACATCCGTATGTCTGCGCCGAACCTGAACAACATCAGCATGGTTGGCATCTGCATCTGTCTGTTCAGCATTGTACTGCTCGGTCTGGACAACAGACTGCTCTACCAGCATCAGAATGGCTTCACCTTCGTCTGCAAGGTGATGAGAGGGCAAGCTAGAGAGCATCACTGACCACTCACTACTATAGTGCTGTCAGACTAACCATGGTCTGACCGAGTTAACGAGGAGTGAATCCTACACGAGTATAGTTTCAGTTCACTTTTGATGGTATTTTCAGTCTATTGTTTGTCTATATAGCAAATGAAGTGAAGTGCTACCAGTGAGAGTGTGTTAAATGAACTCACTGGACTCGGTGTGTATTTAGAAAGCTAGACGTGTGGTTGCTGCTGCCAAGCAACCCAGCGTCTCACGTCACGCATATCTATATATATATCTATATATATATCAAGAGTACATAATAGAGTACATATTATGTACTCTTGATATATAATATATATATATATATATATATATCCTCTAGGTTAACGGCATTAACTGCACGGCTGAACAGATGCTACAGGCCGTAGAGGGACACTTCACCACCGAGGCCCTCATGATAAACAGCAACATGTCGCAGAAGGGCATCGCCGGAATCGTACGTACACGTCCGGCCGCGCATGCGCAGTCGTAGCTAGCCACCTCGGGGGTGTACGAAATCGGGAGACTCCCTGGAGCATTCGCCTTCCCCCCCCCTCTCTCTCTCTCTCTCTCTCTCTCTCTCTCTCTCTTCCTCGTAATCTCTCTCTCTCCTTTCTCCTCTCTTTCCTTTTCTTATAATCGCCCTGTCTCTCCATTTCTCCCTCATGCTCTATTTCTCTTTTCCTTGCTGTTTCCGTCTTTCCATCCTTTGCTCTTTCCTTCTTTTTCTCTGCTTCGCGCTCTCTTTGCGTTTTTTCTCTTCCTTTCTCTCCTCCCCTCTATCTTTCCTCCTATTCCCACACCACTCTTCCTGCAGTGGTCTATTGTCGCGATACAACTTAACACAACAGCACAACTACGAACACCCGCCATTTCTTAATCAAACTTATCAAGTAAGGGAATCGTTATGCCAGCAAACACAGAAAAATGTCGTCACAAATTCTACAGCGCAACGCCATCGCAATGTCTGATCGTAATATCACGAGTCATTACTCAACTACTAACCATTAATTAATATCGTAAAGTTTCATTAATTGCTGCTGCTAACGCCGTTGACGCTCTCTAATGCGGCATCGTGTTGTGATTTGCTCCCGCTAGACGGCGCAGGAGTTCGTACAGGAGATGGAGCACAGCCTCGGTAAACTGGACACGGTCTCCGGCGGTCAGGAGTCACCGCTCGCCTACGACGCAATCTGGGCGCTTGCACTCGCACTGGGTAAGAAAGGCTAGGCTACTTGCACCTGGTAGGAAATTCTACACTTGGTAGGAAAGTTTAGGCTACTCTCACTTGGTAGGTAGCTCTACTCTGGGTAGGAAAATCTAAGCTACTCTCACTTGGTAAGGAATTCTACACTTAGTAAGAAAATCCATATGCTACTCTTACTTGGTAAGGAACTCTACACTTGGTATAGAGAGAGTAACTCTCAGCTCTTCACACTTATTAGGGAATTCTGCACTAAAGCAGAAAAGCAAGTAAGAAAAATGTAGCAAAGCTGTAAGAAAAGCAACCGTCGAACAATGAGTAACAAAAAATCCACACTAAGTAAGAAACTGAGCAGCAGACAGAAGCTTAGAACATTACGCGTAGAAGATTACATTAGATTACATTGCATTAGCTTTGAACTTAGCAGGCAGAGAACATTACGTTGAGTGATTAACTTTGCGCTACCTGCTCTCGGGCATGAGTGCATCATAAGATGAGTTAAAGAGCTTTCCGTCTGCACGCGAGCGCGGGAACTAACAATAACACGCTAAAACGTTCCCATCAATTGATCGCCGACAGCGGTTGCCAGTGTTTAGAGGACGGATGTTTGCGTGCGTCTAAAGATGAATGGAAAGAGGGAGAGAGAGGGAGAGATGGAGAGCGGGAGGGAGAGTAAGAGAGAGAGAGAGGGGAGATAGAGAATGAGAGAAAGAGAGGGGAGGGAGAGAGAGAGGGGGAGATAGAGGGAGAGCGAGGGGGGGGGAGGGCGAGAGAGAGAGGGAGAGAAAGTGAGAGAGAGAGAGGAGAGGGAGAGAGAGAGAGGGAGAGCGAGAGAGAGGAATGGAGAGAAAGAGTGAGAGGGGAGTGAGAGAGAGGGAGAGAGAGTGAGAGAGAGAGGAGGGGAGAGAGGGAGAGAGAGGGAGAGAGAGGGAGGGCGAGAGAGAGAGGATAAGAGAAGGAGAGAGAGGAGGGAAAGAGAGAGGGGAGGGAGAGAGAGAGAGGTAAGGGAAGAGAAAAAGGAAAGGAGAGGAAAGAGAGAGAGAGAGAGAGAGAAGAGAGGCGGAAGAGAGAGAGAAGAGATGAGAGAGAGAGAGAGAGAGGGAGAATGGAGAGAAGGGGGTTTATGCCGTACACCGAACAACGCGAGAGTTATTTCCCGGTCGCGTGTCAACAACGTTATCGCCGTCATTCTCTTGAAGGAATAGAGAATTGGCTCGCGATCTCGCTCTCTCTCCTCGTCTCTCATCTCTCGCTCTCGTCTCTGCTTCTCTCTCTCTCGCCGGCCTCTCTTTCTCGTCTCTCTCATCTCTTCTCTCTCTCTCTCTTATCTCCTCTCTCTCTCTCTCTTCTCTCTCTTCGCGCTCTGTCGCTCTCCTACGGCGCTTTTTCTCTCTTCATATCTCTGCGCTTTCTCGCTGCTCTCGCTTCTCGCTCTCAGGCTCCTCGCTCTCCGTGCTCTCCTCGCTCTCGTTCGCTCTCGGGGCTCGCTCTCTCGCTCCTCTCGTCTCTTATCTACTCTCCTTCTTCCCCTCCTCCCTCCTCCCGATCTCCGACCGTCTCCTCCATCCTCTCCTCTCTGTTCCCTTTCTCTCTCTCTCCGTGTTTCTCTCTCCCTTCTCTTCTCTTTCCTCCGCCCCTCTCTGGCCGTCTTCCTCTCGCGGACTCTCTCGTCTTCCTCTCGTCTTTCTTCCTTCGTCTCTTTACCGCGATTCCGCTCTCCTCTCCGACGCGCACTCCTCGTCAGAGTCTCTCTTTGATCTCTCGTCTCTATTTAATATATCCTTTCTATATCTAATTATTCGAAACTCGCTGCTTTTCTCTTCTCTGGTCTCTCTGTCTCTCTTTCTTCTCATCTCTCTCTCTCTGTCTCCCTGGTCTCATCTCTCTTTCTTTTCTCTTTCTCTTGCTCCTCCTGATTCTTCTACTCGTATCTGCTATTAATGATATCCATCTATCTGACTCGTCTCTTCCTCTCCGCTTCCCCCCCCCCCCCCTCTTCCACTCTCTTTCTCGCTTCCTCTTTTTCTCTCTATCTCCTCTAATCTCTCTCTCTCTCTCTCGTCTCTCCGACTCTCTCTCTTCTCTCATCTCACTCTCTCCTTCCCGTCTTCTCCTCCTCTTCTCCCCGTCTCCCGTCCCTCCACTCTCTCTCTCTCTCTCTCTCGTCTCCCCTATTCTCTCTTCCCTCTCTATTAACTATCCTATATATCTAATTTATTTGACTCTTCTCTCTCTCTTTCTCTGCTTTCGCTTTCTCGTCACAGGATAGTCTTTCTCCGTGTTCTTTCTCGTCTTTCTCAAGAAGGCCTTCTCGGGAAGCTCTACTTTCTCGTCCGTTTCTCATCTTTCTGTTCTCTTTCTCCCTCTTCTCTCTTTCTCTCTTTCTTCCCTCGTCTTTTCTCTCTCTTTCTCTCTTTTTCCTCTCTCTTTCTCTCCCTCGCTCTCTCTCTTTCTCTCCCTTTCTCTCTTTCTCTCATTATCTCTCGTCGTTTCTCTCTTCGCTCTTCGTATTAATCTCTCCGTTTCTCTCTACATCGTCTGCTCTCTCGTCGTCTCGTTCTCATTCAGTCTCCGTTCGTCTCATCCTCTCGTCTATGCTCTCTATCTCTCCTCTGCTCTGCTCCTCCACTCAATCCTCTCTCTCTTCTTCTCTTCCTCTCCCGCTCTCTCAGTCTCTCTCCTCTGACTTCTCTCCTCTCTCTGCTGCTCTATATTTTCTCTAAGAATCTCTCTCTCTCCTGCTGCTCTGGCATTGTCGTCTCGCTCTCTCTCTCTCTCTCATTCGGGGGAAGCGGTACGAGTCTCGTCTCTCCCTCTCTCATCTATCTCTCTATCTCTCTCTCTATCTCTCTATCTCTCTCTCTCTCTCTCTCTCTCTCTCTCCGGATCTCTCTCTCTCCTCCGCCTGCTCGTCCTCTTCTCCCTCCTCTTCTCGTCCTCTCCTCATCCTCTGACTCCGTCTCTTCATCGCTGCGTCGCGGGTCCTGCTCTGTCTCTCGTCTTCTCAATCGTCGTAATCTCTGCTATCCTCCTCTCGTCTCTTCACTCTCTCTCTTCGTCTGTCTCGTCGCTCAGTCCCTTTCTAGATATCATATATAATATATATATATATATATATATATATATATCTTTTGCGTGTTTAGGCTCGCGTGAGTAAGTAAGCATCGCACAGGCGGTGCACACAC